CCCCCCCCTCCCCCAACAAACAACCCGCTAATCGCTCCCATACACACACACACAAAAACAAGCATGGTGGGGGTTGTTGAGACTGTCGTGTCGCTACAACGGAAAATCCGTATTTTTTGTCCTTTATCGTATCGGAAGATAAGCGGGTTTAGAACGAAATGTTTTATACCTGCATTTTATTAAAAATCATTCTAAGAGCAATATATTATTGGTAATAATTGATTTTCCCATTTAGTTAAAATTGCCAAACCTTCCTCTAAAGTTAACATAGCGATAAGTAATTTCTTGATATCTTTTGAAGGTAAAAAATGTTAGCAACTTTTCAAAAAATCTTCGACCATTTTTTATATACGTTGGTAAATTATTCCTTTCTTTTTCTATAAAGAAATAAAAAATATTTTTTATTTATGATATATGTAAATTATTTCTAAAATATATACGCATACCTTCTTCCTCAGCCATTGGAATTCATTTCAGATTCTTCATCTTGTTTTTCCGTATTTTCTTCATACGTAACTTCGTTGTTAAGATTTTTATCAATTTGTTCTTTTGCTTTTCTTGCTTTCCTTGCTTCATAAATTCTAATAAATTTAATATAATAATTTCATGTGGTTCTTTTTAAACTAACGTGGGCGATATTCGTATTACATCTGCGTCTGGTTCTGCTGTTAATTTCTTCATATAGAGTATAATATTTTTCTAACTTTAAAATGAGAATGTTTTCTTAAAGGATTCATTGCTCGTACAAGTTCGTTTAATTTAATAGCTGCGGTATTTAACCACTCTTGATTCCTTTGTGTCGAATTTACAAGCTTTTAAACTCCGACAGCTTCTTTACAATGTAATTTATTTTCCAACTGATCAATTACATTCGTTTCTTCTTCTTTAATGCTACAGACCAAAGGCATAGTTTCTTCATCAAGCTTATCTTGCATTACAAAGCGTATTATCCTAGCCCTTGCTCTAATGGCCATCTAAAATAATTTTAGTAAATTAAGTATATCATTTTTATTCCATCTATGTATATATCCATGTATAATAAGGAAAAAAAGTATGATATAAAATACAAATCTTAATACCATTGTAATTTTATGACCTTGAATATCGCTTCCCAAAACAACTTCCTGCAATCCACTAACGATACCGGGTAACAATAACATTATAGTATTTGTTACTTTGATATACCAAGACAATATCAAACTCATTGGAAGAATCACCTACATAGCATAAAGCCATTACGGTTTCTATAGCTATTAACCTGTATCATAGAACAATTTCATATCGTTACAAAATATTATTTGTAATATCGATAAAAGATAGAAAAGAAATAAAATAATTTTTTTAATAAACATTTAATGATATATTACCTCAGGGAACGTGATTTTTTGTATTTAGCAATTGATACGCATAGATATATACTGTGAGCAAGTTTGGGTGCATATTGTCGTGTTTATAATTCTTCAATGACATTTGTAAAAGAACTATTTAATAAATCCTGCAGACAGAGAAGTACTGTTTCTTTTAATTCTTCATGACAAAGAATAACTATAAAATTACTTACAGTTATAAAAAGACTTATATCAGTTTAATTTAATAAATAAGAATTGTTACATACCTTTTTGCGGTTCGTTCTTGTCATAAATTAGACATAAAATAATAGTATATAACTTGTCAAAAGCTTTATACTTTGTAATTTTGTCTTTTGATAAAACAGTTCTTATGATTTTCACTAAATATTCTTTGGAATGTTTACTAAAAATAAATGAACAAACAAATAGAATAGCAATATTCTTATTGAGGTAATTAAAATATATTATGCATTACTATATTACCTGACATCCTCATTTTGTAAATGTACAATTACAGGAAACAAAATATAATCCAATAAATCTTGTATATCACCATTCGAGATTGTTTTTATACAATCAATAACCTCCAACGAACATTTAATACTTGGATCTTTCATTAATGAATCATAAAGCGGTTTAAGTGTTGTAAAACCTTTTTGAAGTTCATATCGATCCATAATTTTTAAATAAAGAGAAATCTTTCAATTTTTATCTTCGTTAACGTAAATGCGATAGTCGTAAAATGTATGTAAATATTTTAAGCGAGTGCTTTTATTCGTCTCTTTAATTTGAGGTTATGTGTTTGCATCGTCGTTAATAGAAAGATTTGTTTACGTGAACGGTCGGTAATAGTCGGAATCTACTCTCTTTGATAATCCGTCATATAAGATTTCTTTCTACCTTATCGACACAACCTTTATTTTTTGAATAAAATTAATAAATATTTTTCAAGTAATTTATTTTTAAAGATATGTAATAAAACGGTTTGCTGTCTAACAATTAAATAGTAAATTATTATAAGAATAAATGTTAACACATAGAGTAATAAAGACACTAAAAATTAAAGACACTTATTAGAGAAAAATAATATCATTCTTAATGGTAAAATATTCATTAAAATTATTTCTGTATCATTCTTTTACTTTTAAAGTCCCCTGAGCTTGGGAGACAGTTGTGACCTTTTTGCTATTCGAATTCATGTTCAATGAATTCTTCTTGAAAGAAAAATTATTAAATTCTGTAATGGAATTATTTAAAAAAATTAAATTCTTTAGTCGAATGTTGATAACGTAGTCCTTCATCGTTGGATATTTAATTCTAATTATTAACTTATTTGTTGAATTTTTATTATTATCAAATTTAATTGTTCAAGGTAATAGTTGAATGTTTAATTTTAATATATTTTTTTATTAAATGTAGGTATTATTTCTTAATTTATATTCCAAGTTTTTATTAATGTAATTCTATTATGTAAAAACAATCTGTAAAAATGTTATTAAGTTTTACATTATACAATAAATCAGTAATATTCGTTTCCGAAAGATTTATTTAATAAATTTATGTTGTTATATTCAATTTTATATTTCTTATCATTTTTCATCAAAATTTTTTATTTTGTATAAAAATTGAAATATTTCCAAATGATAAAAAACGAAAATTAAAATAGTATACGCAAAGAATTATATATTTAATTTCATTTAGTTCACAATGAAGTTATACTTTGAAAATAATTTGAGAAATTAAATTTAATAGTTGTACGCAGTATAATAGTACTTAAATTGGTCAAAACATATAGCCACACGGAAGTTATCACATCGAAAAAATGAATCTATTGTCTTTCTAGATGAAAAATGAATCTGTTGTCTTTGTCGTCCTTCCATGATCGTTGATTTTTCTTGTAATAATTTGATATCAAATTTACTGCTATAGATCTTACATTATTCTGTTCATCTTTTACTGTTTTAGCGTCACTGCCTGTGATGTTAATAAATCTGATACCTTCTTCTAAATCTTTTATTAAAGTAGTATACACTGGAACTTTATTAGGTCTTATTGGAATACTATATCCTGGTTCTAAGTTTAATATTTTTTCCACTTCGTGTGGTAGTCCTACATCCGTGAAATTAAAAATGCAAGTGTTCTGTCTATTGATATTGTTCTTATTGAATGAATTATCATTTAATAAATTATTCAATTTTTTAATGTTGTTATTTTTTGTGGTTTTAAACTTATTTTCAAATTTTTTATTAAAAAAGGTTTTGCAATTTGTACAATGTTTTATAATATATATTTTTTCAAAAAGTCGAAATAAAATTTCAGTTGCTGAAGAAGTCCTGTTGAAGGGACGAAACGTTCAATAAGATCGAAATAACGTTATAAATTCTTACCCTGTCCAACTTCCCTGCGACACATTTATTAATAATTTTATTTATGGACATGATAAACAACTAATTAAACTATACAACATTTACGAACTTTCCATACGAAAGTTGTTTCAATGGAAAAAAGAAAATGTTAGTCGGTAAATCTTTATAAATAGTTTTGGAAATAACGTAACTATTCAAAAAGATCATGTCAAAGAAAATACTAAAATATAAACTTTCTAAAATTATGGTATAATATGGAATTTGCTAAGAATTTGATCTCCTTCATCAACTTCAACCAATGCTTTTATTGTAATCCAACACAACTGTTGATTTTACATCATAACGTATGTATTATTATTCAGTTTTCATTTCATGTTTGTTTCACATATTCCGTACTTTAACATTTGTGTTTGTTTTTTTTTTCTTAAGATTGGTATAACAAAAAATTAATAACTTATAACGTATTTTTTTTCACCCAATAACCTTTTTTTCACACATTTTCATTCGGCATAAGGTTGTAAAAAATATCACTAGTGAAATTTCGTTGTATGAAAGAACATTTAGTAAACGCGCAAGTCCATTAAAATCCATATAACATCACTGTCGGATTAAATAATAAACACTTCTGTTCTCTAACGTAGAATATCACCTATAATTAATTATTTATAACGAAGGAAGTCTTAATAGACTGCTACGCTACAATTACAAGTCTCTTTTAACTCTAACTGCAACCCTTTAGTCACTTGAAATAGACTTCTTTATTATAGTTGAAAGAAAGTAACAGATCAAAGTAAAAGACATTTAATATTGTAATACACGTAGAAGGTAGAACATGATGTCACAGGATTTCTATCATGAAGACAGTTATAAAGAATATTATAAAGTTTTAAAATTCTTTATGCGTATAAGTGGACTATGGCCTTATGAGACGTTACTCGTAAAATGTTTCTGTTTCGTAATGACTTTATTCTTAAGTGAAGGAGTTCTCATTGGACAGGTATATACTTATTCGCATAAACACATTCTTGTATAATAATATAATAATCATTTAATTAAGATTCACAGTCAAAAATTTAAACTTTTTCTATAATTTTCTAACAACAATTAAAATTATTTTTTAATCATTCATAATCACATTCGTACGATCTTACACATTATATATACAGTTAAAAAAATTGATATTATTATTAGTGAATTGCAAAATTAAATGCAATTATACGATAGTCGTTTACATATATAGTAAGTGTAAGATACTACTGCGGAACAGTAGCCAAAAAACTTTTACTTATCTTCTAATATTAACATGAACAAAAATTATTTAAGTTAGTGTATAATATTTTAAGCGGACACAATCTTAAAGGCGCATAAATAATTTTCATAATTTGCAAACATTATTTAATTTTTCAGATTTTATACGTTATTAATAATATAGTATTGTTGATATAAAAAAAGAAGTATAACTTCAAAAAAAAAATAAAAACAAATTAATACGAAAAATAAAAAACAACAAAACCAATTTAACTTTTTAAAATTTATTAATCTTTTTTTAATTCAGTTATCAGAATTGATTCAAGTTAGAGGTGACATGGACGAAGTAATCGATTGTATACCTAATATTATGATATCATTGTTTTGTGGAGCAGAATTCTTAGGACTTATATATAATTCGAAAAAGGTATATTTCTCTCTCATTTACATTTAATAATAAATATTATATATAGTTATAATGAATTAATATTCTCGAGAGATCGTCACACAAAATAGATTTACACAGGTGAAGAGATGTATCGATACAATTTTTGAGGATTGGGAATGTTTGTCTTCAAAAATGGAGATTGAATTATTAAAGTCGTATACTTTACAAGGAAGAAAATTAGCCATTCTTTACTTAAGTAAGATATAATCAAAATATAATTCAAATAATAATAACAATTATTATTATTATCTGGATTGGCTCGGCATAGATACTGTAAAACTATTATACAGCAGATAAAACTTTTTTTTTATATAAAAACAAGCATTTATTTATTTTATTGTTGTATTTTTATTTTCCTTTTTCCTACGGGTTAGAATTACTTTTCTACTAAACTATTTTACACTTATTTAATACTACCAAAGAGTTCACACGTCTTTTTACCGCTTTCTTTGGAGTCAACAGCACACACTAATCATTTTTTTTTCAATAAAATTCACTTTTATATTTTAATGTAGTTTCAAAACTTTAAGAAAAGAATAGGGTGCATACTTTTTAATGTATCCTTGTACAGCATACATGTATATTTCCAAAGTTACAAAATCTCGACATTTTTAAGCCACGATCTGTTATTGATAATAATAATAACAATAATAAAAATATTGAATTTATCCTATTTTTCATTGTGTTACAGTTTACATGTCATTTACTGGTTTCATGTTCATTCTGCAACCGATAGTTAGAATGTTAAGTGCAAGTTATGATAACTCAACAAATATATTGGAGACTATTCCGTATCGCTTGCGTTATGGCAATCTCGATTTCGAAAAACATTATTACGAGATACTTATTCATTCTTACATTAGTGTTATGTCTCATATGCTTATTTTATCTTCTATAAATTTAATATACATATCGTTCATTCAACACGCCTGCGGAATATTTGCCGTGATCGGGTAAGAATCAGGACTCGTCTTTATGATATAAAATGATCAAACGTGAACATTATTATAGAATTCGTGAAAAAATTGAGCCAAGGAACTAACTGAACCGAAATTTGAGCCCAGGATTTTTTCTAGCAATTGTTCTAACCATTAAATATCAAAGAAATTTCTTATTGGTCATTACCAAATTGTGGGCGTTCCTAGGTGTAACCGGACATGAGCGTACCAAAAATAGGATGATAAAAAATGTAAACCTAATATTTTATTTTTGTCAGTTTCTCCTTTTTCTTTTTCTTTCTTCTCCTCAAATAATTTCTAACTAACCTTTATACCTATTACTGTTTGTAAACTTAAATAATAATACTCGCATTTATAATCAAGTTAACCTATAACTTTTTACATATTATACATTCTAACCTCAAATAATAAGACGTTCTTGCATGGTCAGCTTTATTGGTTACGGCACTGGTTTTCTAACAAGTGATAGAGAAGAAGGGGTCAAACGAACAATCTAACCTATACTATTACACTAAATAACGACAAACTTCAATCTGATTGGCTGTACCCTCATAATAGCTGACATGTAGATTCCTGAAGTCTTTGATACTTAAAAGGTTAAGCTATTCAAAGGGCCCTCGGTCAACTTTTTCACGAATATCTATCATATATTATATATAATATATATCAATGTATTACTGCGAGCATTGTATAGAATACCAGATCAATCTATATACTGTCTGCTTATAAATGTAATATCTGATGACTCTTTTGCAAATAGATAATTTACAAATTTTCTGTATCAAATAGTAATTTTCTTGATGCAAAATAATTTAATTAACATTTTGACCCCAGAATGTATCACCAATTGCTCATACGTGAATTTAACTTTTTATGTTTGAATATTAAAAATATTTATTTTATAAAATAAATCATGTAATAATTTTTCTCAATTTTTTGACCAATTGTAAATCCATTATTATAATTATCGGCACAAATATCAAGTTCTTAGAAGAGTCTGATAGAGTTATAGTATAATGTAAACTTTATGAATTTCTCTTTTAATAGTTTCTCTATATCTAGTAATAGGATATAACAAGTCTTTTCAGGTATAAGTTGAAACATATTGGCGGAGAAGAAAATTTAGAAATAAATTTAGACATTAAAAAGATCGATGACAAAAATTATTGGACGGCTTTAGACTGTCTACGAAAACACATTAAAGTTATAGAGTACGTATCAATATTACATCGTTTGTCTCGTTCACAAATACAATTGGAAATGTTTATTTATAGATTTTCCAAGCTCATAGATGGATCATTTTCGGCTGTGTTTTTATTCACCTTAGGACTCCACGTGTTACTTTTAGCCGTTTCCGGTACACAGGTAATAGAAAAAAAAATCCAATAAATAAATAGAAATATTATTATAAGACATACGCGTAATATAAGTTTTGTACTTTAATTTCACCGTTTTGCTAGTCAAATCGGAAGGCAAAAGGATGAAAAAAAATTGCAAACGGGATGAATTTAACTTGCAAAAGAACGAATTTAAAATTCAAAACCTATATATATATATATATTTTATCTATTTATAATTAATTTTTCTGTAGATATTATTACATTCTGATGAATTAGACGAAGCTGTGAGATTCGGTGCTCTCTTCATATCTATATCTATCCAACTCTTATGGCAATGCTGGCAAGCACAGTTTTTATTGGATTATAGTAATGTACCTTACAACAGCGTGTGAGTTGAAATCAATGTGTTAAATTATAAACAAAAATTACATATACGTATTTATACGAACACGTCTATGACAATGATTTTATGAAAATATTTAATAAACACGTATATATATATATTAATTACACGTATATATTACATGACAATTAAAACAAAGTTATTTTAAATATATACAAAAATATTTGTATTATTTTTTGTAAGATATTTAAAAAATAATTAAAAATAAAAATAGGTCTGACAAAAGTATGTAAATAAATATAAAATGAAAAGAACGTTCAGATAAGTACAACTTAATGTTACAATTAATCATATAATTAATCTTCTGAAACTAATTATATGATTCATTTACATGGAACATTATAAAATCAAATTTATATTAATTTAAAAGTTAAATAACACTAAAATGTTTGGTCATTAAGTTCAAACCGTACGATTACAATTCGATATTGGACATTACAATGACGTAATATATTACTGTATATAAAGATTTTGAAAAATTACTTTTACAAGCAATTATAATTTATTTTAAAATGATTAAAATAATTGTTTATACTTTTCACTTACTACAAATATTAAACACTGGTAAGAAAATAAATATACGCGCGTATATATTTATTGTTATTCAATAATTATAGGGTTCGAGCACGTTGGTACAATACTTCAACACGTTGCAAAAAACTACTCGYCTTAATAATGATGCGATCTTCGAAACCGTGCGAAATAACAGCAGGAAGTATGATTACTATCTCCATAGAAACATTCAGTTCGGTAAGACTTCGAAGATTATCTTATACAAGATAGCAACAACAAATTTTAACTTTTCAATCTTTGTTTTCTATTCAAAGGTAGTACGAACGTCGATGTCTTATTTCACCGTATTGCAATCAATGAAGTGAATGAAAATGACATTAAAAATAATAAATGTACGTATAATAGTATATAGGACTTCGGTTGTCAGATATGACAAATTATATAATTTATTAATGAATAAAATAACTGTGATAAAACATATTCAAATTTTAACTTTCCAATTTTTTTTGTTATTCAAACATAGTACAAATGTAAATATTTTATTTCACCGTATTGCAATCAATATAATGAATGAAAATTACATTTGAAATAACAAATAATACGTTTAATAATATGCACTAATCTCTATGTTGTAAAAGATAACAAATTATATAATTGATCAATGAATAAAAAATGACTCGGATAAAATATATTTAAATATTATAATACATTACCGTATCCGAAGTAACCACATTTACTTTTTCTTTCTATCTTCTAATTCTTGTACTTTGTAATATCCCACGTGTGTGTGTGTCATATGCAAAAGCTACTTTTATCATTTTCTACACCGTGAGTTCTACGAATGAAAGAGAATACATTAACTAGATAGCTTTTACGGTTATACATTGTACTTTAATAAATGTTACATCATATTCATTTCAATTCGCACATGTGAAACGTAACGTATCAGCAATATTCTTACTCCCCCGTAATCTACTGACTTTCTTTCAATTAAATATGCACAAACTTGCTATTATACGTATTATTATTTCCGTCATCGAAATAATCGATGATAACAAAGAGATAATCTTTTAAAGAGAATATATAATACTTACCATATAGTAAGAGAATAATATACCTCGGGGAGAAATGAAATCTAATTCTATAGTGTTGGTCTATCAACGATGACGGAAATACCGGATACATTTTTTCATACTTATTATTATCATTACAATGTAAGATTATTACGAATTATTGGATTATGGCCGTATCAATCTATCATTTCCAAAATTTTGTGTATAACTATTAGCCTTTTAATGGCGGAAAGCATCATAATTCCGCAGGTAAACTGATACGTAATTAAAATTTTAATTAAATACTTTGTACTCGTATGTCGAGTGTAACTCGAAATCAGTTTTTATCTCAGAAAAGCTCCCTTAATCGAGTATCACTTGAAGTTTTTACGTTAAACTTCGGAAGTATCATTAAATGTAATTAATTTAATTTTGTTTAAACTTGTTTTTTTTGTTCTTTATTTGTTCACATATTGTGTGCAGATTTTTGCTGCGATTAAATTAACTCGAATCAATACGATTAACATTTTGAAGTGTATACCAACGATAGTAGTTGCCGTGGGGTGTGGTATTAAAGTGATTAATTCGGTGTATCATGGAAATAATGTATGTATTTATTTATGTATTATATTATGTTACCGTTAAAGTGTTTCTGTATAATTATTTCAAAAGAAAACGTATTGTATTTTTCATTTTTATTTTGTTTCAATACATACTGTATACAATTATACAGTAAATCATTTTGATGAATGCATCGGTGAATGTATTGAACAATTTGTTAAAGTGTGTAATTCTACCTTATTTCGTGCTTTAACTTTAGTTATTCCATGAAATACCTAGTTATCTTATAAATCAACAAATTTGACACATTAACGGTAACATATATACAAAATCGGCCATAAAAATGTATACACATTTTAGGAAAAGAACAATTTGTATAAATATTTGAATAATAAATTAATTTATTTAACAAATAAAAAATAATAATAATAATTTGTATTACTTATAATTAATATTTTTTACAAATTTACTTACTTTTTCGGTACTCGTAGTTGTTATACTTATGATTAAATTGTGTTTACATTTTTATGAGAAATTTTGTATGTACATTTATATTTATTAAAATAGTAACTACGTTTTCTCGATCATTTCGTACGATCAAAGTTACAGATTAAAACGTTACTTCAAAAAATAATGAACAATTGGAACTTGATCACTCGAGAAGAAGAAATTCAAATTTTACGGAGTTATAGTAAACGTGGCAGACAATTAACCATAAGTTACGCATGTAATTTAAAAAAACAATTATATTATAATTTTTATACCAATGCACCTTAATTCACGTATTTATTAATTAATTAAGTATGAAACATCAAATTACTTCGAATACTTTCAGTCCAAGATCATAAATTTCATACTTAATTACATAATACTTATAAAACTCAAATAACTTTTAAATTATGCATTTAACGGGAAAATTGTTAAATACAAAAATTGCATGGTTTCAAAGGATCCTACATTCGAATGTAAAATAAAGACCCTATTGTTTATAAACATTACCAATAAATTATTTCTTCAATAATACTACGAAGTATTTATTATTGAAATAATTTATCGCAAAAAATATATCTCGTTAATCGTTAGATTTATTTATTAATATTCTTTCGATATATTTTTTTTTTCTTAAATTATAGACTGTTCCAAAAATCCTTAAAAAACTATACATTTTTGTTTCATGGGTATTTGAAATGGTGACGTGCTTTTTTTTAAGAACACTATAACTAAAGATTCATATACCTTGAAATGATGAACAAATGATTGTTTTATTCTATTAATAAATCAATATTGATTTTTTTTTCTTTTTTCCAGTAAAACAACTTTTAAAATGTCCCATTTATATTATAATTTTGTGTACTGTCTGTGTACTCCATTTTGTTTTGCGTTTTTTTTTTTAATCATTTTGAAATATTTCAATCATTATACTATACAAAAAACATTTTGATTATATGGGCCAATTTTTCATTTCGTAGTATTTGTGTGTGTAATTGGGTTAACAATTGTTCATTAGACGCATATTTAAAAGTTATTTGAAGTGTGGAAATATGTGAATCACCCTGTATATTGGATATACATATTTATATATAGGTTTTATAACGATGGCATCTTCCGCATATATTTTATTCCCCGTATTAAAGAACATAGTTGAAGATTCTGGGATGAGTGAAAATTCTATTATCCCTTTTGAGGTGGATTATCTCGTTGACGTGAACAAATATTATTATCTTATATTGATTCATTGTTATTTGTGTGTTTTCTCACATACTTTTATAATAGTCGCAGTGGATACCATGTTCATTACACTCGTTCAACATAGTTGTGCAATGTACGCTATTCTTGGGTAAGTTTTACATATGCAATCACTTCTTTAAAAATATTCTTACATTAACGTATAATAATTAATATATATAACTAAAAATAAATTATATATATTTATATATATATTATATATACATATATATATACATATATTATATATATGTATATATATTTATAAAGATTAATAAATGACCAATTGTTAGAAATAATAACTAAGACAATATTGCTTTATAAATAACTGAAATATGAAACCATAAAATTAGTCATGTTTAGTGTCTGAATATTTTTTTTCAAGTTATTGTATGTATTATTGAGGTTAGAATGAATAATATGTGAAAAGTTAGGTTAAGTAGATTAAAAATTTAGATATTATTATTTAAGATTAGTAACAGGTAAAAAAGAAAATTAGTAATTATTTAAAGAAAAGAAACAAAATATTAGGTTTATTTTTCTCATCACTCTTTTTTTGATACGCTCATGTCCGGTTATATTTAGGAACGTCCACATTTGGTAATGACCAATGGGAAATTTTTTTGATACTCAAAGGTTTAAAATATCATAAGTCTCTATGATTAAATAAATATTATTATTTTTATTATTAAAAAAAATATATTAATATTAAAAACCGTTTTTCTTTCTCTCTCTCTCTCTCTTAATGTAATAACTTATAACATATTTGAAATAGATATCGTTTAGAAAATATGACGGAAATCGAGAATGAAAAATCAGAAGTAAGTTTAGATGACAAAGCTTATTATAGAATTGTTAATTGCATTCGCCAACATAGAGAGATTATCAAGTTAGTATTTAACAATAATAAATATATATATATTATATTTTTAACAATTAATAATTATATACCTATAAGGAGGATATTTCTAAATAAATAAAAAAATTTCAATGTTGCAGTTTTGTCGATCAGATTGAATTTATATATTCAACATATTTCTTTCTTCAATTAGGTTACAATATGATTAATATGAGTATTACGGGTACACAGGTATATTATTTTATTATATATAACATCAACAAAAATAATCATTAATTTTAATTAATTAATAAATATACTTTTATATTTCTAGATAGTATTATATGCTGATGTATTATTAGAATTTATTAGATTAACCATGTTAGCTTCAGCGCAACTTCTTCATTTATTTTTTGAATGTTGGCAGGCACAACAATTGATAGATCACAGTGCTTTAGTACACGATTCGATGTAAGTTAATATTCTTTTTAAATTTCATTATTTTTATAAGTAAAACAAAAAGAAAAATATTAAATCGCAGGTAATATAATAGATGCAAAGCTGCGTGGTATTTCACCTCGATGAAATCAAGAAAGCTAATCAAAATAATGTTAATTAAAAGTTTGGAAACCTCAAAACTCACAGCTGGTAAATTGATCGTCTTATGTTTAGAATGCTTTGCTATGGTAAGTATGAATGAAATATAGATTGTTAATAATACAGGGTATTTCAATTATTTAACGCATAACGATACCAGGATATTTAACGAGTAAATATAAGAGGAAAATGTCATATAAACATAACATGAAAAAATATTTTAATTAACACTAGATTGCCAGATATTTGTTATATACTTATTTTGCCTAAAATTAATCAATTTGAATTAAACATAAATAGTAATTAAAAAAAAAGGATACAATTTTAATTTAAATTTATTCTCTTATTCAAATACATTTTTTTCACAGATCCTCTAATCCTGTATTCCAATAATCCTGTACTAATTATAACAGTTGTTTCTTTGAAATAGAATTAACATAGGTAAATATCACCAATTCGTTTTTTGTATTATATCAAACGAAAACAAATCAATTGTTATCTTCCATAGTATTGTTATAAATTTTGAATAAAACATTTTTCATGCTACGTTTACACATTTTATTCATATTTATTCTCGTAAAATATATTTGCATCGCTGTGCGTGAAAAAGTTGGGATTCCTTGTATACATTTTATGTAAAATATGGTATAGTATATAGTACACTGTTATACATACAAATATGTTTATTTTTTTCTTTTTTTAAACTGGAGGTCGTTAATAAATCAGTATCGTATTTTACGATTCTTCGAACAATGCAATAAAAGATAAAACTTTTGATCTAAATTTGAGCTATATAAAATAGTATAATGAAGTTACTATATTATTAACTATGGTTACCTTGGAAACGTTACAAACGATTACATCGTTAGCATAATAATCCTTATGTCGATCTTGTAATAGAACTCTTATATTTTAGTAAAGAATAATTATATGAAATATATAAATGTTTTGTCTTAATTTATATAAAATAATAAACTAGAATGAAGAGTAAACAACGATCGGAATTGATCGTAAACTATTAACCTATATTCGAAACAATGAGAGAATGATTTAAATTGCCACTAGAAAGCGCGTCGATTCGCTAGATCTGATATAGAATATGAAAAAATATGAAAAAATCTACCTTTAACTTAGGAAAAAAATAGAATAATTGGTTATGATATCACAAAATCAAGAAAAAATAACAATAGCATGAAAAAGAAAATTATGAAATGGAAACAATTATTATCTTTAACTCAATTAGTATAAAAATGAATAATACTGCATGTAAAATGTAATTGCCAGTTACCTTAGACAGTTAACCACAAAATCAACAATATAAAATAACCTGTTGAGCTGTAAGAAAATGAATCCTAATCCTTTAATTAATCTTTAATTAAATTAAGGCTTCGTGATTAAAACAAAAAACATCAAAGAGAACTATTTGTTTCATTTGTTTATTTATAAAATGACACGTAATTAAATCTGAACTTATGAACACCACCGCCACCCTCGTGGAGAATTATCGTACTCGATATTTCGTCATTTTCAACAACACAAATTCGACGAAAACGCCTATCTCGATCGGCCTCCTTGTATATAGCTTTGTTGTTCTATTCTTCACTGGACACCTACGACAACATATCTGACAGTAAGTACGAAGCAATGCATGTAAAACATTTATTACATGTTTTTCTGGCATGAAATCGAGTAAATTAATGCTTGATTTCACCACTACTAACCATGAACAAAACACGTAAGTAAAAAAGAAAAGTGCATTAATTAATTGTACTATTAATTATATGAATTAAACCGATCAGACAAGAAGACCTATCCTGAACTAGTAATAAAACATACAATAAAATATATAGTTTTCATGAACATTTCCAAAAAAACGAATTTGGAAATGGAAGTTTTACCAAAAAATTATGTTAGTGCATATTAAAAGAGGAAGAATTTAGTCAGGAAACTATGTTTCTATCCTTAAACAGTATCCAGCACGCTATCGACAAAGTTTCAAGATTTTATTTTGGATCTTATAAACAATTAAAGAAATATTTTTTTATATTTCAAACATAAACATTCGTGTTATACACTAAATTATTCTAAGAATAAGACGAAAACAAAAAGTTATCATTGTTATTTAGAACAATAATGTTATTTATTGAAATTTTTTACTAAGAAAATATAATTTATTTATGATATTTATGAAGAGACAGATTACGAGTTAGCACATGGAGTTACGTCATATCATCCAATTAGTCTTTTATCAACAACATCCAAATTGTTTGAAAAAATACTAATCAATTGTCACTTCAAAGCACCAGATACCCCATCATTCCCCAAGTATCAGTTTGGGAATAATTCATTCATTCCACCATTGAGCAAATTCATCGTGTAATTCGTAATATATCACAAGATCTTGGACAGAAAAAATATTATTCAGCAGTATTGCTGAGCATTAGACAAACTTTCGATAAAATATAAAATACTAGACTATTATACAAATAGAAAAGAAACCAGCCGTATTTTTTCTACATAATTCTTGAATTTTACTTAACAAACAAAAAATTCATAGTCAAATACCTAAATCAATCAGCAACAGCTTTTCCAATTTTATCCAGTGTCTTACAAGGCAGTGTACTATAGTCATTACTTTCTGCTATTTACTTGAAAACTCAAATTCAGTACGTAGAATTAAAAGGTTCTACTTTTGTGATCAAATAATTAGATTTTGTTAAATAGTAATATGGTTATTCTATAAAGATTATATTAATTTATAGTTATCATTGTAACATACTTTTAAACTTAGAACTCATTTCAATGTACCACGTCGGCAAGTATGACTTGAAATTCTAGCTTCGAATTAAATTGTATATTTCTCGAATAATAATAATAAACAAACAAAAAATTGAAATATATTCAAAATTTATTTAATTAATACACAAAATTTATTTAATTTTTCGTTAAATCTCGAGGCTATTGGACCATTAAAAGGAACTTAAAATTCATCAAAGAAAGTTTACATAGACATAAATAAGAACAGTAAAAGTTTAAGAAAATGAGACTTGTTTAGTAAGACGCGTATATTTTTTACTTTTAGCTTTTATTGTTAGTTTAAAAGAATCTATGAAATACAAAATAGTCGTAATGATAATGAAACTGTGAACTATGTTAACGTTTGAATAAGCAATGTTCAAGAAATGTTTATAATAGTTCTTGCCAGTTTTATTATTATCTCTTTTAAAGACTAATGTAGGACGTTGAATAAATTCCCCTTTCTATACACACTCCCATCTGAAAACAATAAAATTTAAATAGTAAGTCGATAAGCATACGTTAAACCGTTAAGATATAAGTTGAAGTTTTTACGTTTATTCTCCCGTTAACTGTATATATAATTTTATTCGAAAATATTTAATATAAATTACAACATTTCGATACTTTATTTATATATATAAATGTAAACAATATAAAAGAAAATATAAAACATATACGTAGTATTTTATGAAAAGTGTACTGAGGTTAGTGTGAAAAAGCCAAAAAGAAAAAGAAAAGTTTGAACAAAGAATATTCAAACTTATATCTATTTACAAGCAATACGTAATAAAAAGGATTCTGTTTTTTATTGAAAATAATGAGCAACGAGGATTCATTACACAAAGATAAGGAAGTATTTTATTATCAAAATCAAGTTCTTTCGATGATGAATATTTTCAACATAAGGGAAGACAAGTTTTTTCCTATGTGGTTAAATAAATTTGAGTATGTAACAAATATGATCGAAGTACCACATGAAAAAATGGGAGAATTATTCACTAGCATGCTTGATGTTGATATCGATGACCACAAACTTAATAAGAACCATTTAAAATATGACGACGCTTTATATAATCATTCATATGATCAGATATTACGGAGTTATAGTTATTTATATCTTAATATTGAAGAATTTGAATTTCACAGAAGTCGTTTTACTTGTCGAGAACAATATGTACAAGAACCAATACTAAAATATGCTAGTAATTTAAAAAAAATATTTAATAAATGCAATTACGGGATGCATGAAGAAATGAAATTATGTCAACAATTTCTTAATGGAACACGAGATGATAATATAAGAATTTATTTAAAAAAGAATCCGGTCTTATCATTTAACGATTATGTAATAAATGCCATTGCATTTGCAAAAGCAAATAATATAACTTATTATCTAAATCTGGCTTTTCCAATGATCAATACTTACAACCCAGAGAAGGAAGGTATGTTTCATACTTGGTTAAATAGATTAGAGTATGTTGCAGACATGATCGAGGTACCAGATAATAGAATGATTGAATTCTTTAATAATATGGTGGATAATGATGTTCATTATAGGGTTATGCAGCAGACTTTTTCTTCTGTAAGTTTCTCTGTACTACCATACGAAGAAATAATAAATTATTACATTCTTTTTTTTTCTTCTGACTGTGAAAGTGATTTACACAAAAATCGTTTTCAATATAGATATCAATATGAAGAAGAATCGATAAAGAAATATGCTGATAATTTACGCAAATTATATAAAAATTGCGGTTATAAAGATAATTGTTCAGAAGAAATATTATGCGAACAATTCATTTGTGGAATCATCGGCGATGATATAAGATACCATTTAAGTGAAACTCTTCGTTTATCATTCGATAAAACAGTAAAAAAAGCAATTACATTTTTAAAAGATAATCAAACGACTTATTATTTAAATCAAACACTTTCGATGATGAATATTTTTAAACTAGACAAAGAAGACTCATTTTCTACGTGGTTAACAAAATTTGAATCTGTTGCAAATATGATTGCGGTACCATATGAAATAATGGGTGAATTATTCATTAAAATGTCGCACGACAATGTACATAAATTTATCAATAATAATTGCGAAACTGTCAACTGTTTAGAATTTTCATACGAGCAGATATTAGATAAATATCGATATTTGGCTTTCGGTATTGATAAATTGAAATTTTACAGAAACCGTTTTATTAATCGGAAACAATTTGCATTAGAATCTATAGAAAACTATGCTGAAAGTTTAAAGAAAATATATTCTAAATGTTTTTACATAAGTTACTTTGACAACAAAATATCCAAACAATTCATTAATGGACTCCGCGACGAAGAATTAAAAAATTCTTTTTGTACATTTCCTTGCATGTTATTCGCTGAAACAGTAGCAAAGGTGATTCAATTTAAAAAAACTGATGTTGTATCTAATTATGTAAAACCTGCTTTTACAATGATTAATATGTTCCATCCAGAGGAGGAAGAAAGGTTTTATGATTGGTTCAATAAATTTGAATATGTAACAGATATTGTTGGTGTTCCAGACGATAAACTGATAGAATTCTTCGACGAAATG